TATATATATATATTAAACTATAAGAAGTAAAAAAAAATCAAAAAATAAGTTTAGAGGCTAAAATTATTTATTTTAAACTATAAAGGATAAAAAATATAGTAAATGAAATTATAAAGACAAAAAAAATTTAACCTTTTTTTTTCAAAATCCATCTCTAAAACATTTTTATTTTTTTTATAAAAATTTTATTATTAATTTTAAAAAAGTCTCACTTAAAATTTATTTTAAACATAATAATATATTAGAACAACCCTTTAAAAGAATAAATATAAGCTACACATAAAAGTTTAAAAGGTACATATTTTTGTCCATCACACACTATAACAGTTTCATAATACAATTCTTATAACACACGTGTTATAACACAAGTGTCATATATCAAAATTGTTTCTTAGAAAAGATTGTTTTTATTTTCACTATCTGGTTCTTATTTTATTCCATACATTTTTTTTAAAAGGATTTTAACAAAGACAAGGGGAGAAAGGATGAACTCTGTTTGTTAGTACATGGTACGAATGGCAGGGTGTGTGAGATTAGAGAGGAGACAAAGGAGAAAAAGACAAGATATAATGAATATGCAGTTAAAGATTTTTACATATAAATTAAGAAATAATAATAAATGTATTACTTTTAATATAATTTTACTAAAATAATTTCACTTTTTTAATAATTATATTATTTTTAATTGTAGCAGTCTAATAATTAATAAATGAGTAAATTAAAAAAATAATTAATATTACATTAAAGAATGAGAACATAAATATTAAATCCCAAACCCTAAACAACTTTCAAATGTGAAAACTGCAATTAATTTAAGACATAATCAACATGACATACACTGTTATTGCTAAATTGTTTTAGTAAGTTGAAAAAACGTTCACACATGTACAAATTAGCTAAACCGTAAACATTTGGTAATGTTTTCAGTTCTGAGATAGGAATCAGTCATTGGCGTGACCATCAGCATCATGCCAATGTCTTATAGCATAGACTATGAAATAATTTTTGAGAACTTCATGACAAAGAAACAATGGATCAAGTGGCATGGCACTGACAGATATATACCCTACCTTTGTTCTTCCCTTTTCACCTCAAGTGTGAACTCTGTGCTTAATTCGAAACTGATAACTGAAACACTGCTAGTGCTAGTGGTCACTATTAATGTTTAGGACCACGTACTGCATGGTATGTCTTATTATGCCATTATATGTGATGCTGGATGCTTCATCTTCAATTAACTACGTGCTTCATTCCTCTTATGTGTCAACACATTTGTGTTATTTCAAATTGTAATTATTATAAATTAACTACAAATAGTGGTTAGAAAATGCAACTACCATCCATAATTCCATATGTTACTTATAGAAACTGTCAAAAGGTGCTTTTTTTTTTTTTAATCTTGTTTGGAATATCTTTCAATAAAATGGGTCAAAGATTAATCTAATCCACAGTAATATGATTGTTGCTGATTCGATGAGTTTTCTCACAGATCGATCACGAGTTCCCTTCTAAATAAATTGTCCCTAGTGCATGATGTTTAATTACTATATCAAACCCGTATAATTTTTTACTTTTAATATTATTTTCTAGATGAATCAGTGGAGCATAGATCAACTTTGGCAGGTTAACCATTTGTTTCAATTTTGAGTTTTTTACATGCAATTGTATTAAATAATGAAGCTATGTGCCTTTTATGTTTAACCTGGAAATTTATTTATTTATTATTTTTACTTGGTAAGTGGAAGGAGGCAAAGAATAAAAATAGGACCACCAGATGGAGACAAAGGTAATATTATTTTATACAATAAGTTTTTCCAACATGTTTTACAACGATATTTTTTCTTTTTATCAAGTTACTGGCTTTATGTAACACTTTTCTTTCTGTTTTTTTTTTTAATATTTAAAATGACAGATAGGAGATGTCGCTTTCAAGTTTATTGAACAAAAATCTAATAATATGTTGTGGATTTTCATATTAAACATTATTATTTACCTAATGATTAATCAAAATTCAGTAGTGTTTAGTTAGACATCCATGTAGTGAGATCAGAGTTGAAATGTCCTATTCTTGCATGTCCAGTTTACCCGCATTGAATAACGATGTTGGGGTGGATGGAAGTGGAAATTAGAGACAAATAAAAAAAATTATAAATGTAATGAATGAATGGAAAGCAGAAAAATAGTGAGAAAATGAGATAAAAGTGGAATGGAAGAAATAATTAATTGATGATGAGTTTTTTCCAAGCTTGAATTAGCATGCGACCCACTACTATCCTATCTCATGCTCTAAGTTTAACTATAAAGGTCACATTCGATTTATGAGAAAATAAACATTAAAGCAATGCCACTATTAGAAATTGAACCTATAGTGCTTGTGATTTCCCACCAAAATTGGTGTCCATAACAATTACAACGTCTATTTCAATAGCTTTGATGTATCTTGTGCACTATGTGTGGTGCTCCTAAACATGGCATGCTACTAATTTTAACTCATTTGTTGTGAAACAGGGATCGGATTAAGTAAACCCTGGAATATATGTTATGATATATATTTTATTTATTTATTTTTATTTTAATAAATTTCACTAAAAGTATTTATAAAAGTGTAAAAAATCTGTCTAAATAAAATTTTCAATAAAAATTATATATATCTATATATATATATATAGAGAGATTCGTTTATTTCAGGAGTAAGTCTAGGTGACTTACTCTGTTTCATAATTCATATTTTTCATCAAATTTTAATGATCCAACCATTGAATTTAAAATTCTTAATGCATAGATCAAATATAAAAATTTTTAAAAAAATTTAAAAATTATTTAATATTTTGTTTCATTAATTCAAATTGACAGATAATCATAAAATTAGAATTTTAGTAAGTTTAGATATACTTAATCCTAAAGTAAATGAATCTCTCATTAACACAAAACTAATGCATACAATTCAACTTTTTACAGACTAATTTTAACTAAATTTCATCTCATAAAAAAAAACTTAATTCATTTTATCAAACACTCATCCTGAATTAAGTTTATCCATATATGACAAGAAAATAAAATGAACAATGTATTTTAAAAATTAAAATTAACTTATTGTATATAACAACATTTATAAAACTCTTTCATTTAACACTTTCAAAAATTGATTTCAATTTTTAGTATGTACATTACACATATTAAATATTTATTATATATAATGAAATTTAAAATAAATTATGTATTTAAATAAATATTATATTTAAATATATAAATTATATATAAAATTTGAATAAATAAAAATTATTAAATATATATATA